AGGCAGAGTGGGAAGAGAAAGGGAAGCATGAAAAAGAGAATCATGAAAGCGAGACGTGGCCTATCCTGGGTCTGAATGGAGCTGGTGCCTGGTGACAGAGGAGAAGATTTAAAGCTCGTTGTATGTTATGAGCTCAACGTTTTTCAGTTACCAGATGTCACAGCTACCTCTTGGACAATCAGCAGGCCTCTGAAAATGCCATCAGCAGTATAAAGTATGGTTCTCTGGGTATTTATCTGAAGAAGGATGATCTCTGTGTATAGTTACGCTTCTGGGGGGCACCTCCTGAGAAGCTGCTTTTCCAAATCAAGGTTCATTCAAGCATTACAGAACCCCTTCGGCCTACCACCATCATGGGCACCGAGGCACTTTGCACACTCTGTGAGCAAAGCCAGGCATTACATTTAGCTCTGCAGAGTTCTTTATAGATCGGAGCTTCTGGCCCTAGGCAATTGGTGCATATCTCTGAAGTTGACTTTTAAAACTAGGTTTTTAAAAAAGAAATATTTATGAAATTACAAGAGATAAAATGCATCTTTTATCATGTCTCTTATTGACCTTATATTTTCTACAACAGTGCTGTTCAATACAGGAGCCAATAGCTACTTGTGGCCATTGAGCATTTGAACTATAGCTGGTCCAAATTTAAATGTGTCGTAATTAAAAAAGACATGCTTGATCTAGTGGGAAAATGTAAAATATTAACCATTTTACCATCAATTACATGGTGAAATGATATTTTGGAGACATTGGATTATTATACAATAAAATTTACCTTTTCCTTTTACATTTTTAATGTGACCCCCAGAAACTGAGCTAACAGCACTGCTTAGATGCCGTTCCCCCACACGGGGGACAGAACCCCAGAATGCCAGAGCTAATGCTTTGCTACTGAGCGACATACTCAGCCTAGATTTTCAGTGTAAGAAATATGTAAAAAGAAATCTCATCAGGAAGTGAGATTTATTTATAAATGACTGCTGATACTTATTTACAGATAGTCAAGGTATTTGTCTCATTAAAAAAACTGAATATTCAAAACTTTGCTAACCGTAAAGGAGCTTATGATATTGGTGGAGGGATCTAATATGATGGATTATTATTTAGTTGTATTTGAATACTAAACAGAAAATGAAGGGTGAAATTTGTATTTTCTGTTTGAAAGATCTTTCTTTTTGATGAACTATATGAATAAGAGAAAGGCTGGAAAAGGAGACAGGAACACAGGGCCACAGATTTGAAGCAAGAACAAGTCTTGGTGATCATAGTTCCAAAGGAGAGACCAACACCTTAGTATGCAGGAAGAGTAACTATCTGTGCAAAGTTTCAAGAATTAGTACAATTTCCAGCTTTATCCAGGGCACAGAACTGCACCAAACCCTGTCATCCAGCTTCCAAGTGGGATGACCATGGATCTTGCCAAGCGTATTCCTGCAGAAATGTTGCCTGCTATGACGTCTGGTCTTCTTTCTGATCTGAGCCGGCAGGTTGGCTGCCTATCTGCCTTGTGGCTCACTCTGTTTACCGGACTCCTGATCTCCTTGCTAGTCTTATATTTTTATGTTTCATGTTTCTGTTTTTATCTCTCATTGATCAAGTTTTCTAATGGTCACACTGAATACCACTTCTTCCTAAGAAGAAGCTTCTAACAGATGCAGAAGCTCTGGATGATCACAAAGTAGGAAACTGTTTGCATTATGCTCTGTAGTATGTATGTGTACACTTTGATACTAAACAGTATGTAAGAGTCTTTGGGAATTTTTTACTCTGTTTTCCAGCTAATTAAGAACACCATCTTGCTTTGCACATCACGATTTTTAAATTTTTGCTTGAAAAATAGAAGCCAACACCGACTATCAGATTCAAAATCCAGATGGTTTTCCTTCCTTTTCTTGGTATCACAGTTTTGCAGAAATTCACAGTTATATGACTAAATGAATGCAAATTTCAATGAAGTATTAATATGAGAGGTATCTAGGCTATTGCTAAGTCATTTTTGATATGGATTTTTTTTGCTACTTTTATGTAAAATTTTGATAAATACATGATGACTGGCCTTCTTCTGTGTAAGTTGGTGAAAGGAAACAGTCTCTAAACCACTGGTCACTCTAAAGTTTGATTTCAGGAAAATACTTTCCAATGCATTGTTTTTCAGAGAGACCTGGTTTCTGATTTCTTTATTTTTCTACTCATATTGACTTTTAATGACATATAATGAGGAAGATAATGAGGAAGCTCCTTCCAAAGAACCCTTCGTCTAGTGCTCAAATCATTTTCATCTCTTCCACAAGGTACTTATGAAGACATTTAGTTGTGCTTTGTTATGGAGATAGAGAACAGATAGTATTGAAAAATGTCTGCTGAGTAAACCAATCCAGCCTGTTAGAATGAACATGGAATTTACGCTTGTAGTTTAGATTTTACTCTTAAAGTATCTTCCCGTAATCCTTTTCATGAGAAAAGTGACAGCTCATCCTGAGTTGTAGCTTTCTGTGTATGAGCATCTTCTCATCTATCTAACATGTGTGGTACAATAGACTCCCAGAATTGCACTCGATTTATTACACATTTGTGTATCCAAGGGCAGCAGCAGATGTTGGGTATTTCCTTTTGATTGTCCACCTTTTGAACCCACTTTAAGTCTTGGGAAGATCTACTGTTGTGTACGTTTTTAGCTCCACTATGTACATAGAAGCTGAACCTACACAGCTGAGGCTGGACAATACATAAAGCTTAATAATGGAATCTCCAAACTAGAGATCTAAATCCAAATAGAATAACACAAGAAGTAGAAGTGGATTTAGAAGTCATTTTACTGGCACTGTGCTGTGTCTAGTAGTGGCTGAGTTAGGAGATATGTACAATGTACATGATGCTTGTCAGGCTGCCTTTGAGGGTGTTTCTGTGATGCAATCTAGGGCACCATTTGCCAGGTCTTTTAGTTTCCTGCTTATTTTCTGAGTCTGATTCTTTACCCTGGAAATTTTCAAATGAATCTCTTTTCCTTATAAGGAAGCCATAATTTATTTTGTTTGCATCCAAGATATGTTCACAAGCATTCAGACCAATTTTATTACATATCTTTGCCATGTGCACCATTTCACAATGAGAAAATCAAGTGGATAAAGTATTCTCGGAGAAGGATGCAGAGGCTGCAAGCACCTTTTCCAGTGTGGGAATTTTTCATTGTCTGCTGCTGGATTTTGTTGTTCTTATTAATAGTTGTTCTTATTAATAGTGTTGCGGTTTGTTCTGGTACATAGTTAAGTAACTTGGGATCATTTGGACACTTTAGGCTTGCATTTAAACTCTATTTGTGTGAGTAGAAGACAATTGTTAGTCTTGGGTTAACTTAGCCACACTTCTAAGTCATTGTTCTCCCATAAATCTATCAGGTATCAGGTTTAATAGAAAAATTTTCCATGCTGGAGGGCAGGGAAGCTGAATTATTCTTAGCCCTGGAAACTCCCATGCTTTCTCTTGCCTTCTTTGTCTATGGCCTCCATGCAGTGATTTCCTCATGTGCGTAAGGTCTCCATTCATCCAAAAATTTAGCTATTGTGACCTGGTAATTCCATTATCTGTCTCCTTGACTTTCAGACGCCATTAGATTCCATTTAGGTTTCCTCACCCTGCACTTCATAGCTACTCTCTCCAGGCAAGAACCAATGCCACTGCAAAGCTCACCTTATTTCTTCTTTCCCAAGAATTACCATCTTATGCTGCTATTGGCTGGTACCATTGTTTCATTTGTTTTGTCCAGTTTTCTAGTTGCTTAAAGTGAGGGGGAAAATGCAATTCTTAGTATTCCATCTTGGTTGGGAGGGGAAATCTCTATCTAGGACTTGATCCTTTTGACAGTAGGGACTCTTCAGTCTTGTCCACCTTAATCTCTCTGGTTTATCACATGTTAATTAATCACTAAATATTTTCTGCAGGAAGAAATGGTGCAATGTGCTGTTTCTGGGGATGGAAGCCTTGGAAGGGGCTATTTCCCTCACTGACTTATCTTCTTTAGCCATAGATACAAATGTTTAGATATTACTTTTATTTATTTGTTTGTTTAGTATTCTTTAATTTTTTAAAGACATCTCTATTATTGTTCCTTGTCCATTTGGTGCTTATTAAAGAGATTGTTTACTTCAAAAATATTCATCAGGCATTTGTTACCAAGTATGCTGAAAGAGAGTGTAACTTGGTTAACCTAAGAATAACAAAATACTTGCTTTCGTCAGTCATTTCATCATATTGGACATCATTTCATCCCATGGAATATATCGTATATGTTGTGAAGGACAGTGTGAGACTGTTACTAATGACTAGTGCCTATTTTTTCTTAAACTGCAAAAAGATTATTTTCACTCTCCCAATTCTAAATCTATTTTTTGAGTACACTGCAGTTTTTTTGTAAAATATTCAACAGCGTGTTTCTTCAAAAGCTATTTTTTTTAAAAAGAGAAACCTTATTAATGCATAAAAAGGCAAAAACATATACTTTCACATATCAATTGTTTCAACAACTCTCAACACTTTTCCAACTTATTTTTTTATTTTAAAGGAGGTAAAATTAAACACAACAAAACAGAACAAAATAGGACATAAGAAAGCAATGTAAGAGATATAAATTTCAAAGCTAAACAACCTGAGATCTTCACTGTCTATCATATTGTCTCTTGTTTTCTTCCAAATAGTTGTCCATGTCTTTGCATACAGAGAATTCATACAAAACAACATAATATAAAACTGATCTGAACAGAAGGAGGAAGGCAATTTAAGTCTTCAAAACCAGACAATAGGGAAGTCACTAATGGCTGTCGCAGAGTCTCTCCTCTTCAAAATAGTTGAACATACTTTCATGTATATTGAAGTTCAACAAAACAAAACAGGCAGTGGGGGAAGGGTTGCTTGGTTTCCCAGCGCTCTCGGTCCCAGCATGGCGTGGGTCCCAAAGCAGCCTGTCACGCTCATAGCCGCTCACGGGTGGAGGGGCAGTTGCTTCAAGCTGTTTCTTTCTAATGAATTGACCATTTCACTGCCCACATTCTGAAATGGCCAACAGACCATACGTAGAAAGACATCTCTTTAGGTTCCTGCTTGATACCAACAGCATCAGGAAGTTGTTGGCCTTCATTCAGGGCCAGAGCCTTCATTTTGCCAATCTCATTTTACCATAATTCCTGCCATTTCTTTTTCTTTCTTTCTTTCTTTTTTTGCAAAAATATTAAAAATTCAAACTTCTAGTTTATTTACCATACATGTTTTTAAGAATTAAATATCAGATTTGACCATTTCTGTATATCAAGGGTTCACCAAGTTCTTACCTACTCTATGAGCTTTGTAATTCAAAGTGACTTCAAAATCGAATGGACTTTGGAGGAAAATTAAAGCAATTATTTGTATGTTTACTTGATTAACCATTTCTTATTATTTCTTAGTCATTTTAATTATATTGCTTATAATCAAGCCATCTCTTTTTCTTTAAATAGGTTCTGGTAATTTTCTTCTAACATTTGCATAATTGCTTTTAGATGTTGTTGCAAAATTGATGGTTTATGCAGTTATTGATTATAATTTCTTCTTTTTTTTACAGACGAAATGCAAGATTTATGAATATTAAATCCCCAGGATAAACTCCAGTTTTTAAGTACCTATCTAAGTAGTAATTTCTATTTTTGTTTAAGAGTATCTAAGATCACTGTTAGCCTTTGTGAAGTTTACGAACTAGGAGAAAAAATCATTCTGGATAGAGATGTGTAGATTTACCAGGAAGCTAATGTGAGAAAATCTATTGTACAGGTGCATGTATCAAAATCTTATGCATATATTTGGTCAACACTACAATATCGGTCGGACTTTAAAATTGGGGATACCATAATTTTTCGATCACCTTAGTTTGGTAAGTATATCTTTTTGTGCTTCTTCTATACTCCTGTTTTGGTTCCTTTTCCTTGGAGTGGATCCTCTCCATTGCCTATGCTTCAATCCCCACTGTGGGTCCATTAGGAAAAAGCTTTTCCCGGGCAGTGAACGACCACTGGTCTGCTGGCTGTGGAGATAGTTTGCTAGATCGCCAGGACGTTGTACCTTCTACACGGCAGCTTTTTGTCCTGCATAGCCACAGGTTCTTTCATCGGAGACGGCATAGTTCAGCCTTTTAATTTTACTTGTTCCCCTTCCCTGAGGTTCGCCGTGGGATAACTGTATGTCTGTCTCAATTCTCTGAGGCTTTAGGTTGTAATGAATCTCCTTCACTATTTCGGGTTGCTTTAGGAAACTCAAACATGGGCTTCAACCTTCCTAAGTGTGAATCTAAGTTCCTAATTAAGAACACATGTGTAATATTTTTGTAGTTTAAAAAGTTAAAGGGAGGATGACTTTAAAGTCAAATAAAACAAATTTTTGGCACTTTTGGGTTGTTGAGAAACCTGTTGCATTCTGGGTTTGTAAATTAACTAACTTGTGGGAGCTACAGCTCCTTTAGGTTTAGCCAAAGTTTTTGTTGTTAATTGTAAGGTGATTAAATTTATTTATTAAAAGGAAACAATAAATACAACTTTCCTGAGAGCTATATTTTGGAGGCTGCTACAAAACTTACAATAATATGAAAGTTTCTAATTTTGATCTTAGGGATTTTCCTCCATAAATGCCTATCATTACTTTTTCCTTCTAACTTTCAGGAAATGGGAAGTGTATGCGTTAAGCTTTTTTTCTATGTGTTATCCTTTGAAATAAATTCACCTTGCTAGCAAACAACAATTTTCTACCTGTCTCTTTGAGGATACACATTACATGGTTAATGATTTGTTTTCAGTAATCTCTAGATAATTTAGGAGGGGTGAGTTTAATTAACAATTTTTTTTTTTTTTTTTTTTTGTCTTTTCCTTTTTATCGGTACCGGGGATCGAACTCACGACTACCTGCTTGCAAGGCAGGCGCTTATGCCGCTGAGCTAAATCCCCAGCCCCTAGTTTCATTAACAATTTAAGAATGAAGATTTTTTTCCCTCTGTGTATAGATGTCTAGTACTGGATCTTATGGCTTCCATCTATAATCAGTCTTGGAGGACATTTCTTCCCATTTTCTTGACACAATTTAGAGGCAAAGCATAGTCACTCATTCTGTTCCATTTGTTCTTAGAAAATTTATTTCTTAAAAAAAGAAAATTTATTTCTTTGTTAAATGAAGATGATCAATGAGTTACTTTTCAAGCACAATGTATAGTAAAGTCAGTAGGTTTAGTATGCTTTTTTTCAGCAAATGCAATGCTTTCTTATGCTTAAGTTGCATTTATTTGCAATAATCTCTAGACTCTAAATAGCTGGAAAGATGTCTTTTAAAAAATCTATTAATGATTAATATCTATTAAATGGTCCTGAAATAATATTAATATTTCATAATGCTTTGGTGCATACGTGACAAGAGAGTGATATTCAAGATAGCAATGTGATCCACAATGACTATATTCTAATGTAGTATATGAATTATGAATAAAATGTTCTGGCCCCAAATTTCATAGTCTTTTTTTTGGAATCAGTCTTGTTGATTTTGCATAATTCCTATGCAGAAACTTTTGGTTTGGCAAAATATTAGATTAGCTAGAATATCCCATTTTCAACACCAAGCACAACAGAAACATTATAATATCCCCCTTCCAGGTTTAGTAATATGCTTTCTTCTTTTTAAAATGTTTGATTTAATAGTGGAATAATTTTATTTTTAAAAGTCAGACTCTTCAGTACAAATGTGGATTCTGCCCGATTTAACGTCAAAACTTGTTCTTCATGTTTGTGTTAACTGTACAGTGACTGAGTGACCTAATTGGTACCACAGAGGCCTGTGTTGGTGTCTGCTCCATAGTAAAGTGTGGTTTTTTTTCTGGTACCAGGATTTGAACTCATGACCTCGCACTTGCCACACAGGCACTTAAGCCACTGAGCTAAATCCCTGGCCCAATAAAGTGAATGAAATCCCATGCACTCTCCATGAAAGCTACCCCAAGTACAGAGCGATGGTGTCTGTTTCTCCAACAAGACTGCAGTCTTGGGGTGCATCCTGAGGTTGTTACATTCCACTTCCTTTTCCCTGATTCCTCCAAAAGCCCAAGCTTTTGCCTGTGGTGAGCACTCAAAAATGTTTACGGATTAGAACTAAATAAACACATTTCAAATAGATTTGGGAAGCACTTCCTTTGCAAATGCCACATGGGGTCTCAGTTGGCTCCCACAAGGCTTTGCGAAGTGCCCCCCCCCCACAGTCCTGTGCTCCCACAATGCAAGAGGCGCAGTATTGGAACTGGGGTCCTGAGTTTGCTTAGGGTCCTCGATGTTAAGGGAGGGCGGGGCAGGGGCATGGTGGTGCTCTCATCTACTTTGGGCTTCATTTTTCCCATCTGTCAAATATAGGCACATATTATGAGGCGGTGAATAAGGTGAGGAGCCTGTGCTCCCCAAAGATCACTGTGCACCGAGTCTGCTGGGCATCCTATGAAAGCGGGGATTCTTGGGTCTTGGGTGGGATCAAAATTGCTCCATCTCCCATGTGGTCCAGGGAAGGACCTGTTTAATCCACCTCTGCAGGTTTAATCCTGTAAATGGAACCAGTGACTCTGGGGCAAAGAAATCAGTGTTCTGTTTTATGCCCAAGCTGTCCACCTTTCAGTGCAGAACAGGGCCCTAACAGAAGAGAGAGTTCTGATTTACAATGCTTCACTTTCAGTACCACAGGCCAAAATCCCAATAGACTGAGAACACGGCGCTTTGACTTTGGGCCACAGATTTGGGAATCGCCGCAGGTTTCCAGCTTGAAAGGAAACATAGTTCAACAAACAGCAAGGGAGCAAGGGTTGGAGGAAGCACAAGGAAAGGTGAGGTCCCTGTGGGTCCTTCAGAAGGGATCCTTGCCCCCTGCACTCTCCAAGGGCCAGAATGCACAGGGGTCAATGGTCCCATTTTCCAGGCCTTAGTAGTAGTAGCAAGTCCCATAGGGCAGTGTCTGAGTAGGGATCAACTCTATATCCATGGGCAATGTGCACTGGCCAGTTTACGAGTTCCAGAAGTTGGGCTTGTGGTCCAAGTCATGTGCTATCTAAATTCCCAAGAAGGAGGGTACAGTTATTTTGCATGTCTGAGTCACATCAGTAAATCTTAAATAGTTCTGTCTGATGTTAGGCTCTACCTGAAATGGAAAAATAGACATCTGGAGCCAACAGTGGGGTCCTGGAAACTGCCACACAATTGTTGGGGGTCCATGAACTGGGACCTGTTCAAGACCTGGTCTCATGGACTGGGTTTCTTTGAATAAGGGCTGAAGCTTCTGGTAGTAGAAGGAAACATTCCCCAGCACGCTAACAGGTCTTTGGTGCCCAAGGCAAGGAGGAATATCCAAAGGTGGAATTCCACGCTGCGTCCGGGCTGTGGCATTGTACTCAGTTGGGATTTGAGCTCATGCTAGGTCACCCCCAGTCTGGGATTCAGACTGCCCTATTCAAGATAAGACACCGGAATAAAACGCAGCCGAAAACCTGCTCTAAAGCAGCCACGCCAGAAAGAAGGGACAGAATGCTGTGGTCTGCTGACTTCTTTTACACTCTGACCCCTTTGAAACCCACATCCCCAGGTGAGCATCAGGTTGCTGTGCACCCCACACCCTTGTCACCCAACAGGATTTTGGGCTCCCTCTTCCTCCTTCGCCTTGGCAAGATGAAATGGGGAGCCTGAGAACCCAGTTCAAGCTGTGCTGGATGCTCATGGGCACAGGTCCAGTTGCAACATCTGGTGGCTTGGGAGGGGCGCTGGCCTGAAGCTTGGAAAACTGTTGTGACATCCTTGTCCTCACGAGAGGTAGCCTTCTACAGAGCTTCCTCTTGGAGCTCCTGCACCACCCAAGCTGACCCCTGTGGAAGCGGGTGGGGTCATGAGTCAGAGAATGCCTGGCCCAGGGCCCTGTGCCTTCAAAAGAAGTGGATGAAGGCATCAGTACCCCAAAGAGCAATGGCCGTGCTGGATCCAATGCTTTGTCTCCATTAATTTCCTTCATCTTTGATCTCAGATTAGTGTGAGAGCTCTGGATGCTACACTCCTATGAGCACTGGCTGTGTAACTTCCAATGCTAACAGCAAAGATTCCCAGGTCTTCGATTAAAC